CACCGCTAGTAGATTGGAGGCCATTGCTTCTAGGTTGAAGGCCATCGCTGGTAGATCTCTTCTAGGCTTTTCAGATACAGGGTTTGTGTATATATACTTTTGTGCCATTCCGTTTCAACAAAAAACCTCCTAAAAATCATTGTTGATAGATTTTGGCTATAAAACACCGCTCCTGCGCAGGAAAATAAACTTAGCATGCCCCAAAAGTGGCGCATTCTAAGTTCTAGGGGTGTTTTGAAAAAAAAGGTAAAAAAACCATTTTTTCAGCGGCCCAAACAACTGAGAAGCAGTGCAACACAACCATCATTTGCAAACAAGTGCGACTGGGGCTTTGGATTTTTGGAATGCCTCTGGGCAAAACTTGCGTGTTTTCAAAAACAGTAGGCAAACTTAGTGGCTACTTGAAATAACTATGTTTTGAGTTGGTTCCTTTCATTTCCCTTGACTTTGGTCGATGTTTTGAAGAGCAAAGAAAGGAAACCGAAAGGAACATGAAAACAACATGGAGTGAAATGAAAAGAAACTCAAATAAATTCAAGAATCATTTCTTTCACTCTTAAAGCACTATTTTAGGCCATTCCTTTTAGGTTGGAGGCCATCGCTAGTAGACTGCAGGCCATCTCTTCTAGGTTGGGGGCCATTGCTTCTAGGTTGGAGGCCATCTCTTCTAGGTTGGAGGCCACCGCTAGTAGATTGGAGGCCATTGCTTCTAGGTTGAAGGCCATCGCTAGTAGATTGAAGGCCATCTCTTCTAGGTTGGAGGCCACCGCTAGTAGATTGGAGGCCATTGCTTCTAGGTTGAAGGCCATCGCTGGTAGATCTCTTCTAGGTTTTTCAGATACAGGGTTTGTGTGTATATATATATATATGTGTAGTATATACATATAGCGAAGGTGCCATATAGTGGTATATGCATGCTAATTCAAAACAGCCCGTAAACTTAGAAGGTGCGCAGCAGGACCCCCCCTTCTAAATTTATCTACTGTTTTGAAGTGCCGAAAATGCTACCTTCTAAGTTCCGGGCCGTCGTTATATATGTATATGAATTGTTTTATAGTTCAAGTCGAAGTGGCGGAATTTAGGTACTTGCTTTCAACCTAGATTTATGATTATATATTTATTTGAGTTAGGAAGCCTTGGAAGCCAAGCTGCTAACTTTTTTCCTGTCATTTATATACATCCGACATTGCTGGCTCAGGTTTTGGTGCGGTCAAACCGATCAGAATTGCTGACTTCGTTTTGTGGAGGCAACCTGATGCAGTTCTGATTACAATAGCGTAGGTTGACAGGCAGATTACGACCAAGGCAGGTTTTCACGTCACAAACTGGAAAGACATACATTAAATCATTAAAGTTTAAGGTGTTTTCCTTTTCCGATGCAAAAGCTGCACCAAAGCACAGCAACAAAGGCTTTGGGTGCAAAACTTGCTCGACTTATTTCTGGTGTCAGGTCGGGAGGACTTGCTGGAGCAGATGTGGGAGGAGGGATTCGGAGGGATCGATTCGGTATGGCATTACTTTATTTTTGTTTGATTTTGGGATTCATGCTTTTTCTTCAGACTGCTTGACTGATAGCAATTCTGTATGCAGATGCGCGGAGCCTCCCTTGTCCTTGGTCAGCACGGCGGCGCACTGGCGAATATCCTTTTTGCCCCTCAGGATGCAGGTCCGAGCTCCGAGGGCATTTGTTCTCTTGTCACCAAGTGTGTGGCCTGGCCCCTCAACGATTCAGTTTGTGCTATAGCTAGTACGGTAAGCCAAACAGATGCAGAGCAGCAGCATACCGTCCCGCGTTTTGAAGGATGTGTTGAAGGGGATAGATCTTTCCCGCCGTTGTTTGCTCATTAGTGCCAGGTGACTAGGACTCTAGGAGAACACTTTGTCGCGCTGATTGTTGAGTTGCAATGACACAGGCTTAATGGATGTACATGGATGTAGAAACTGTGGGTCGGTGTCATATTCTTTTCCACCCACCAATACACAACAGGGCATCCGATAAAAGTTCCGATAAATACATTGAAGCGTTGTTTGCACTTTTGAGAAGGTGACGAGTTCAAATCTGAGAGGCATCGTGGAATTTGTCGGAAGCCCTGCTGCCCACAAAGGTTTGCCAGGACTGCATGGGTTGGCAGACTCTAATTAGCATCGTTTCTCATTGTTTACCTGGACCTTTGGAGATGTAGGTCATCGAACACACAATCTGTGTAATTGACTACAATATATGCATGGGAATAAGAAGTGCTCAGGTTGTTTTACATATTGTTTAATGTTGTGCATGTTGGGTGAGTCTTGCACATCCTCAAGTGAACAAGGAGAGTGAGTGGATGGTTTTGATCCGTGTTCATTATTTGGGTGAGGGCGACACATATACAATCGTATATATATAATATATACACATGTAGATATATATATATACAATAGAGAGAGTTGGTCGTCATGTTCGATTGAGTCGTGGGCACTGAGTGGCTCTATACAAATTGTAATCATGGAAGTGGAAAAAAATGGACAAACCACCTGTTTGTAGAGAAAAAAGGTCAGCCAAGGTTCCATCCGTGGAGTGTTTACCCCCCACGCACACACACACACACACACACCCATAGACGAAAACACATCTCACGCTCACCAGGAGTGTGGCCACCCTATAAGAGCAACTTGACTAGAACAATTGATCACGGAAAGACAAGCACACTGTTGGAATTGCCCTCGCGGAGAAGTCCAAGTGTCAATCAAGTGTGGATTCAGATGTCGGAGATCCTTGCAAGGTTATTGGTATGGAGGAGCTGGTGCGGCTTTCAAGTTCTTCCGAGTGACTTGGAAGAAGTCTCCTAATACTGTAGTATGCTCCCCTTTTCTGTCAAGAATCTCCTCACAGCATGTGAATGCTGGAAAAAGCACACCAGAGCACACATTAGCCCCCAACATTTGGACAGACATGATTTTTTTTTGAAGCCATGCTAGCTAGTGTCAATGAGAACACGGTTTCTAAAGAGAGCTTGACAGCCCTGCCATCCAAGCCCCCTCTGAATGGAATGCCAACAGCATTCTCATTCATTGATAACCATGTTGCTAGTGAAGGGTGCTGTGAGACTGTGAGATGGCTTGGGGAGCGGGAACTTTCCAGGATGAACAAGGGGGTGTGAACATTAGTGAAAAAGAAAGAATTCCTTAGCAGTTTGCTAGGCTAAGAACATATCTATCCAACAGCTTCCCACGAGTAGTGTCAACGGATCATACCCTAACTTTTGGAAGCGACACCTTTTCAGACGAACACCGTCGCACCGTGCGCCACATTTCAGGTTTTTGCAGACTAGTATCCAGGTGAGGTTTGCTCAGGGTAACTTTCGTGACTTTTATCTTTGTGCCGAAAAACTTCGCAGGCATGTTTGCCGGTCTCGGTGGAACGGTCCATATGCCGAACGGCATGGCACTGCCATGCACTGCAATGCACTGCCTACGCCCTACGCAGGTCGTTCTGTATGATCTTGACTCCCACGGGGCATGGCAGTTGCGGCTGGAGGACCTGGAAGAGGCGTTGCAGCAGTGGACGGATCACAACACAGGACACAGCCAATCACTTGAGTTTTGAGTCGTGGGCCTGTGCCACCTGTCACAAAAGTATGTAATCTGTGTGTGCCATCCTTTTGTTGCCTCCTTCGTTTTGTGAGCGAGCTAGAGGACATTTGTTAATATATTCGGATGACTTTGCCACCTTTCATTCAAAGTGATTATTCTGGAGCACACTTGAATCATGGCGTGTTAGACACAAACAATAATCATTGCATCAGCCTTTCCACAAATCAACAGCTCGCAACAGGTAGATATAGTAGGCCAACTTCCACAATTCAGGCCTTGGTACAATACTGGTTTGGTGAAAGAGGATTTGTTGGGACAATCACGGTGAGAGAGCTATGGATGCAGGAACTATGAGACCTATGTGACCTTAACTTGCTTCCTTGGCCCCAACTTGCTTCCTATGTTTCCATCTGCAAACGCAGAAGCTGGCAACACCCACAGAGACTGTGCTCGTACAAAAAAAGACCGACAGGATGGTTCCAGCTACAGACAGCTACATCGGCTGCGTAATTATCATGCCAAGCAGCATGCACTTTTGCCATGAAAGCCACACCTGTATGCACTGCATGTCCCACGTGGAGTTTCAATTGTGGCATGTCCCATTCCTGGCTGTCGCATTGGCTCCAGTGATCATTTTCCCCCGTCTTACCGTACTTACCGTACAGCACTGAATTGTATGGCATCCTGTCCGATGCTCAGTTTCAGTCAGCCGGTTTCAGCTTGCATTTGGAAGACTGCTCAGGACATCCATGTTCTTTGTGCGGCAACCTCACGTTTGGGTGCAATAGTGCAATGCGAACTACTCTAGTATTTTGTTGCATTTGTGGCGCTGCTGCGACAGCATGCAGGGGGCCCAGCCAATCAGTTTCCAACCCAAGTTTGGCCCATGCTGCGCATATCCAAATGATACTCGCACGGCAAGGTGGATTTGGCACAAGCTATCCGCAGGCAGCCCTGGCTTGGGATGCAGCATATGGCAGGGACCTCGTGCAAGTCAAGCATGAAGTGGCCCGAACCCGTGCAAATGCCACGCCGGCAGCCGATGTGGATCTTGAAGTGGTTCATGTAGCTTGCTTGAGATTTGTTGAAGCAGGGCATCAACACCAGGCCAAGAAGAGAAATAGGAACGGCCAATGGGAAAGATGGGACAGAGCCTTTAGCATTTCTGGATTCCCACGATTCTCAACTGGGATCTTGGACCAGTTTGGCACAGACAAGGGGATGGCTTTCACTTACACAAGCTTTCACCTCAGGACCTCAGAGTTGGAGGGGAAAGCTTTGAAATGAAGGTTTTCCCCAAGGCTTCAGACAGGAATTGGGAAGATCGTCTCACGCAGCATCTCATGTAATTATTAAAGACCGATACTAATCAGTCTCACACTATCAGAGCTCCCAACTTTCATGCGTTTAGATACTTTAGTTTAGCCATGTTTAGCCCTTTTCACGGTTTACAGGTTTGGATGTCGTGATTTTGAGCTCTACTCTCCTAGGATGCAATTTCAGCGACCAGCGCCTTTTCGGCAAAACTAGCTCATGCTATGGGAGGCCAATTCTTTCTTGCTTATGTCGTTGCATTTGACATTGGTGCCATCTTATTCAATCTTGTATAAATTAGGTTGGAGGCCATCCCTACTAGGATGGAGGCCATCGCTATTAGGTTGGAGGCCATCGCTGGAGGTGGGTTGGAGGCCATCGCTATTAGGATGGAGGCCATCGCTACTGTA